GTAGGTAAGGTTTTTGATGTACTCAGATTTCTGCTACAGGGAAGTTATGAAGAGTGTTTTTTAGTAAAATCAGCTTAGTACAAAATAAATAAATTTTTTTTCAAATTTAATGAAAATGTAGGTATCCATAAACAAGCAAACTAAGTTTACTTATTGTCCATAAAAATAACACGGAAATTTTAAATTTACTTGGTTATTTGGAATTTTTTTCATAACCTTAAAGTGCCCACAATGCTTCGGTATGGACATTTTTTTATTTTTGCTATAGAAATTGGTTTGGAAAGAAATTGTGATATTTTATGTTTTGAGGGTAAAATATGGGAAAATGCCCCATTTTTTATTACATTCATCCTGTATTACATCCCATAACCTCAATTTCCATAGTCAAATCATGATGGTTTGCAAACTTGTTAAAATAAATGTAGGTCCAATGCTTGTACCAAATTTAATCAATATAAAATTATTCTACTCAAGTCATCCTGCTAACGGACACATAAATGAATTTCAATGAATAGGATTTTTTTTACTTTGAGAGCATCAAAACGGAAAAAATAGGTTCCGGGTATAGATATTAGGTACATGATTTGTTTACATAAACTGGTTTCAAGTGTTTGTAAAAAAAGATTTTTTACGTGTTTAAAAACAATATAATATTTACACAAGTATGTTTTTTAAAACAAACATAATGTGCCAAAGAAAATCAATAAGAAAATAAGATATTTTAAGACCCAACATTTTGTCATCCTACTTTATTGAAAAATAAGGGCAATATTGGAATTTGTAATCATGTCTCAAATATTCCCTAGGTAGTCTAGACTCGATATCATTATTAGCGGTTCTGCTTGATAAACAGTAGGCCTACCATGAATGAATACACACTGATTGCAGCACCAGCTGTTCCCATAACTAACTCATGAATACCACAGCTACTTCAGAGTCATAAGCATATTACAGTAAACAGGAACGTGATATAATCGTCTTTATAGCCTACTGACTAGTAACTTTTATATTCCAAAACCACAACAGGGGTTGGTTAAGCAATTCCATCCCCTCCACTCAACCCCACCCTAACCATATGAAATTAAACAACAGCCGACTGCAACGTCAGCAACTGCAGCTGATACATAGCCTACATTAAGCTAAAAAAGTGCCGAGGGAACCCAGGATACCTTCCCCCTAAACCACCTACATTTTGTGAACGGACTCTTTATTGTAAGATTTTAGGTTTCAAGGCCACCCTGGGTACCATTGACAGCAACCGGGCAATGCGTCGGGACCGTGACAGGTTATGACCTTCCTTATATCAGAAAACTTAAGTAGCCTAGCCTACTTGTTAACCTAATATTTAAATAGAGGGAATGCATCTGACACATTTAGGAAACATTTAGGTAAATATCCAATCAGACAAATGGACATTCGTTTGGTATGCAGGTTTGCTGCTGCATGGGTATTTTATAATTTTGGATATTTTTTATGGGAACAAGACGTTTTAAGTGTTCTATAGAGTCGTACATGATAAAGCATGGTATGTATTGAGAGACACGTATACAATCGCGAGATTTCATAACCCAACACACGTTATGAGAGTGTGTACCAAATCAATCCAACAATAAGTCGGTATGTTGCAGTCGAGTGCGTAGCTGGCCACAAGGAAGTGGAGGCTGGCGGCCGGCGGGGCGGATTATGTTAAGAAGAAGTGAAAGTTATGTGGTAACACACGTTTGCCGTGGCCTTCTTGGTCTCGAGACGACCGTTACAAGACCACGACCAGTAACGATCGATCTGCAGAATCACGACGTAGAGGCGGCAAACTGACGGAGCAACAACGGTCTGCAGCGAGGCGAACGAACTAGAATCACGGTGCCGACGCAAGGCAATCGAAAACATCAACAACGGTCTGCAGCCACAGCGTGCGTGAGGCGAATCGCGAATCAGAACATCGGGGCCGCCGCGAGACAACCGACAATCGGAAGGAAACGGTCTATCCTCTGAGACTGTAGCTAGAATTACGGCACAGACGCGATGTCAGTCAACTGAGTTAAAATAAACAAATAAACTAAGGGGATGACAAAAGTTCTTGAATTTGAATGCGGATAGCTAAAAAGACCGCACATTATGATCAACAATAAGTTTTTTCTTGCTGTTGCATAATGGGAATTGTGCAAAAAACTATATTTGAACCCTTGTTATTAATTAGGTAATTTTATTTTAAAATATGGAACAAGAAACCTAGATTCATGACTACAATGTTTTTGCATGTATTTCCATGTTACAAGCAATAGAGAAATTTCAATAGTAAATTTCCTTGAAAATAGGTTCTTACTGTTTTTTTTTAATATGTGTTCTGAAGTATGATATTGGATTTTAAATTGAAAGTAGGCTAAGTTAATCATGTAGTGTGAAGGGTTGCAGGCCATTTTTAATTCCACCTCTCTGGCATGAACAGTAAAAAATCTATTGGAAAACAGAAATAAATTCATATAAAAATTGTTATTATTCATTTTTTTATTTTTTATTATTAGATCATGAAAAAAATACGACAGTCTACAACAGTATTGAGCATACAGTTTACGGAAACTTCACTTTATACCTTCTTTTTTTCAAAATAGTATCAAAATTCTGCAATATTATTTGTTTATAGATAAGTTTTACTCAAAATTTAAAAGATGCAAAAAAAGACAGTTAATTAATATCTCCTGTTACAGCATCCAAGAGTTCTTGGACCACAGAAACTGGATTGCTGTAAACCCTGGCGTATAGATAGCGACAGCTGAGCTTTGTAAATTATTTTTGTCTAGCCATAGTTTTTAAATAGCTTACTGTAAATCTTACTAATATTATAAATGTGAAAGTTTGTGTGTTTGTTTGTTTGAAGTTCAATCACGCATAAACCACTGGACGGATTGGGCTGAAATTTGGCATGATGATAGCTTACATTCCCGATTAACATATAGGCATATTCTTATCTCAAAAATCCTTTCGGGCTCCGGCTCCGCCCCAGTGGCTCTGTAATTCCCCATGTTAACCTTATGAGTATTCATATTTAAAGGGAAATAAAGAATTTAGTCAGCTGTTTCAACTAAAAAAGTTGGTTCTATGATATGGAAAAGCATTAAAAAGTTATAAGATTTACCAACAGGGTGCAGCACTATATTTTTTTGCATTTATGAAAACAGCTAATTTGAACTAACCAGCAACAAAAAACTGTGATTCACAATGAGAACTGTCAAAGTAGGATTGTTTACACAGTTATGTTTTTGTTTTTCATTTCATGAATAATTTGTGATATTTTGCTAATTGATAATTTATTTTTCTCTACTGTTTAGGTGAAGTGGTGCAAACGCAAAGCTTGAGTATAACTGCAATAAGCATTTTATAATTATATTCCAACCCCGTACGAAGGACAGGTGCTCTGCTAGTAGTTTTATAAGGACAACTTTATAATTTTAATAATGTACGTTTGTACCATGACTTAGCTAATGCAATATGTATTGTCAATTTTAGCTAAATAAAATGATTTGATGATTTGATTTGATTTGAAGTTAGTTGAAAAATTGCTGAGATAAAGAGCTTTATGGGAAGATCAAATTTGTGATTTGTGCCACTACTATAGGATAGAGAAAATTATGGCCCTCATGTTATTTTGAAAATGTACATTTACCCCTAAACGTGTGAGAAGGCGCATGAAGAAGCTTTTTACGTATCAGAAAATAATTCAAATTTATTCATTTGATTTTAGGCTATCTGTAGTTGTGCAGATCGGCTTATCCCAAATCCGTGCGGTGGTCAGAAATCTGTTAAAACCGACTATTTAACTCCGCGCGGTGGTCACTTCGGGTCCCTCGTAGCACATATCCAACTACGTGCGGTGTTAAAAATACCCCCACCACAACAAACCTGCAGATTCAACAGCAAACTTCAACAGTTTACTTATTCTCCATTAGAATAAAGTGGGAATCATAAATTTACAGTGTTTTGGAATTTTCTCTAAAAATTAATTTTTTGGCTTAGGTATGATGATGCAATATGACGAAAAATATAGTTCATCACACAGGCAAAATGTGTCTTTTCAACCCTCACTCATTTTCCGACCTCGGCTTTTCCTCGATCATAAAACTTGAGCTCAGGTTGAAAAGAGTCTTTGAAGTTACTTTAGTAGGTACGGTACGGTACGGCTTATGATAAAATATAGTACTATATTATTTAAAGTGTGAGTAAGTTACATCCAGAAGTTACCACAGTAAGTTAATCAATATTTAATAAGTCGGATCATAAATAGGTAATTAAATTGATAGTTATTTATTTGGAATTAAATCCAGTAGGCAACACTTGGCAACTGGTAGATATTGAGCAACGGGTAAACAAAATTTCAATAAGTTATTTTTATGACATTAGCCTAATTGCATTAACTACATTTAATTTTAAGAATTAATTTGTTGGTTTTAATTTGGATTCATTATTTAACCCTTAGAGAATTTTTCTATCATATAATCACAAACTTAAATATCTTAAAGTACATGACTAAGTTAAGTACCGGTAAGATTTAAAGATTGATTTTAGGATTAGTATTTTTATAATAGGTGTAATTTAACTATTAATGCCGTTACATTATGACCGAGAAACCTCGATGGTTTGTATTCCAAATTAATATTTACTTAGAAACCCAAAACCAGGGTAGACCCAATTTATTGATGTTATTTGTTAGACCTAACCTGTACTGATTTAAAAATGCATAGTCCTATTCAGAAAAGAGTAGGCTAGACTACCATTTGAAATACAATGAAAGAACATTTGGCTGAAGTTTAATTTGGTGTTTTTATCATTAAAAAGTAACTATTAATAAAATCAGTAAAATATTATTGACATCACTTTGTGTACACTTTATCTAAACATTACAGTAGTGTATAATTTCCATTCATTGTAGGTTAGGTCGTGTGTGATTTTAGAACTAGAGGTAAGTCAACTAATTAAATCAATAAAGGAAATATTAAAGTACCTACCACACATGATAGTTACAAGCCACGTCCAAGTTATTCACTGATAACACACCACGACCACGTCAAGTTTGACGTTCGAATGAACTGTCAGACGGAATGTCCAACATTTTGTTTGAAGCCTTTCGCTCAAGCAAGAAGCAAGAGTGGGGAAAGAGTTGTCTGCTACTGGATTCCAAAGAGCTACAAACTAAAAGACAACGACAGGAGAAGGGTCAGAGGGAAGTAATACAGTAGTTGAAACCATATAATAGTACACCTGTAAAGCTTTATCAGACCAAACCGTTGTAAGATTGTGTTTGTGTTGTGTTTTTTTTTATGGGATTATTATGGCTGCCCCCCCATGGCGCTACAAAAAATATTGTGTAGCATATAATATATTATTGAGCGGAGCGATCGAAGGGCTGCACTTTAGTTTATGTCCTACACTCGTATTAATATATCGATTACCTTATTCAATATATCAAGTTTGGTTAGGTTAATGAAATAATCGAATATCGAATAATCTGTATATCGATATTTTTCATTCGAACAAGTGTAGGAAGTGCAGCCATCCTCCGGGGTCTCAAAGTTTCAATGTAATCCTAAGCAGTATTTTACACAAACAAAGGCATAAGATCAGCTGTTTACTTTGGAATGCAGTAGATCAAGAAAATAGCTGATAGCATTATTCCACAGATATTAGAACAGTAACGGTATGGATCATAAATATAATCAAATGACGACACTAAGTTAAATTTTATACAAATAGCATCTAATAGCCTTAACATCTGGTTTGGACGTTTATTGATAGTTCCATTTTGAATAATAAAACAAACAGGTTTGCTTTCGGTCCATCCAACTAAATTAACAGTTGAAGTTGCTGTGTTTAAAATGTTCTAAGCTTACTTGGGAAAAGCTTACAATACGGCAATCTTTTTAGTAGGTAGCCCGTATATTAGCGATGAGTTATTGGTTTGCGAATTAGTGTATGAATATTGTGTGGGCTTTTACAAGAACAGAACCACGTCCCAAGTAGCACACATCGTTGGCCCAGCGTTTGGAAAAGGTTGGCGGAAATTTTAACGATTTGCCAACGTTGGTCCAACGGAAACTTGCATTCGTTGGCCCTAGCCCTACAAAGGAAAGAATCGTTGGGTTTAAGCATAAAACATTCTAAAACACATTTTAACGAATTGATTTATTTAAAAGAACATAAATTGTATGGTAGCAGAATATAAGACAATATTGGAGAAAATTGGATCTATAATAAATGTAAAGATGATGTTGTGATACTATATAGTCAATGATACTAGATACAGTGGGTAACACCTGCTTAACATATATAATAATTATAATATTGCAAAAGTAAAAAAAAAATATTCTTTAACTTTTTTGAGCAAATTTTTATTAGTTTTAAGGGGAAAGGTTAATTAATCATATAACAATCAATTACAACAGTACTAAATCTAATGGTAATTAAATAATATATATTCAAATACAAGTATCCTCTCCAACTACCAGAAATACAATTCAACTACTTGAGGCATAAACAGATTAACAGAATCATATTATACATGGTGATTGATATAAGTAAGTGTGCCAGCTATTTTATTCGAAAGTTATAAGATACTAGCTGTACCCGCGGGCTTCGCCCCGTTTAACTTCATAAGTATTCGCAAAATTCGCTTGGCTCATTCACGTCCTGGTTGAAGTTCGTTCGCTACGCTCACTCACCTTTAGGTTGGAGCTCGTTCGCTGCGCTCACTTGCCTTCAGGTTAGCTCGTTCGCTACGCTAACTCTTGAAGTTCGTTCGCTACGCTAACTCTTGAAGTTCGTTCGCTACGCTCACTCACCTTTTGGTTGGAAATAAGCTGTTGTCATAAATTAAAAAAAAAAAATTAATAGTGCTGCACCCTGTTGGTAATCCTTGTAACTTTTATGCTATTGAACATCATAGAACAGAACCAACTTGTTTAATTGAAACAGCTGTTAAGATTCATTAATTCCTTTTAAATATGAAAAATCATAAGATTAACATGGGGAACTACTGAGCCACTGGGGCGGAGCCCGAAAGGGTTTTTGAGATAAGAATATGCTTTAATGTTAATCGGGAATGTGAGCTATCATCATGCCAAATTTAAGCCCAATCCGTCCAGTAGTTTATGCGTGATTGAGCAACAAACACACACACAAACATACACACAAACATACACACAAAAATACACACAAACTCACAAACTTTCAGATTTATAATATTAGTAAGATATAACCAAATGTTAAATTGTAACTGCCTTGGCCTTTTTATTTAAAAAATTATGTTCAAGTTCAAAAAATAATTTTAGCCTCCATTTTTCCAATATGGCCGCCAACTTAGATTTTTCTTATGGAAGACCCATTTATGATTGTTTTAGAAAGTAAATGCAATTTAAAAACGTTTTTATTCTTGGCATTTTTTCTCTTAAGCTACTGGTTTAGGAGTTACAGCTTATTAAAACTAAGAAAAAATGACTTGCTGTGTATATTCTGCATCATGTAGCTCCTAAACGGAAAATGGAAAGAGTAAAAAAATCTTAAAATTGCATCTAAATTATAAAAGGCCATAACAAATGTAAAACATATTTTCCATTGTTTCAAAATTGGAAATTTGAAAATAAAAGAACTGTGTGTACCCTGTGTATGTTACTCAACTGAGAATTATGCTTTTCATACTAAATCTTTATTAATTTGTGTTTTTATGTTTAGGCCCAATATGATGGTTGGCCCCTCGTTGAAAATTGATTGGTTGGCCAACCGTAATATTTAGTGCCGAAACATACCGTTGGCCAAGGCCAACCATCGAAGGAAACGTAGGGCCAACCATTTGCCAACGGTTTTTGCTACTTGGGGTGTTTCAAAGCGAACAAAGTTGACGTGTTTACATGGTATACATACAGCTTTTAAAATAATAGTGTCTTAGTTGATATTGTGTTTTTATGTGATCGGCTTACTTGAGAGCCACGTAGCAAATAGTTCGATCTTACATACGCATACATGATACATGATCTCTCCGTCCGTAGTCCTTTGCCTTTGCCTTAAGGAATTAGAGAGGCCAGGGTTAATACAAAGAATAACCAAACTTAAATACTAGTTTTTGTTTTCAATTCTTATTTGAAGTTTGTTAAACTCTGAATTTCAAGTAATTTTTTCGGGCCTGGTACAATTTGATTCCCATGTAATTTGGTTTGTGTTCAAATGTTGTGAGTTTATGTTGGACTGCATGTGTGCCCTTTGTTCCAGTGTTGTAAGTGTGATTTGTAAAAGTTGGTTTAATGTTCTGTGATTTTATAGAGCAAACTGATTCAAAGAAGAAAAGTTAAGGGACTGTGACAAAGCCAAGTTCTTTAAAAACATTTTTGCAGCTGCTCCGAGGCGGCATTCCCAAGATTGCTCTAACTGCCTTGTTCTGCCAAATAAAGAGATCTGCTCAATATTCTTAGCCGTTCTAAAGAATTAAATTATTATTGTTACCTTTGATGCTACCATTTCAGTGCTTGTAACTTATGTGATGTTGGGCTTTTCCATTTAACTAGTATGATATCGAATCCACCCAAACTTCCTTGTTTGAAGGCTCAAGGCTGATGTTGTATAGCCCCCCCCCCCACTGCCATTGATTAATCATTCAGACAAAATAAATTCCCTCTGAAACAAAATTGTTTATTATGGCTGAAAAAAAGTTCAACATAAATTAATAAGGGGGCTGTTCCTTCAATCACAGTGGCGGATCCAGCTTTAGATTGAAGGGGAGGTGAGAGATGCCCTCTTGATCCCCACTGTTTAATCAGGATAATTATCTTTGTTGGCAATCCAAAACTGACCTTTCTCTCTTTGATGAACAGTCTAGTCTGAGGGAACAAAATCAAAAAAGCGATTATGATTTGCTGTTACTGTAATTATTGATGGGCAGTCTAGTAGTCTGAGGGAACAAAATAAAAATACCCCTGCGCAGCAAACCTGCTGACTAAGCGAATTTCCATTTGTCTGAATTGATTTTCAATTAAATCTATTTAAACAACATTTATTTTAACGAGTACCTAGGTTGGCTGCTACAATGAAACTTTTAAAGTGGGTTTTTTTTTGTAAAATATTAATAGCTTAGTATAAAATAACTAAATTTGCCAAGTTTGTTCAAAATATATCCATAAACAAGCTAACTACAACATTCTCCATTCAAACAACATGGGAATCTTATATATTAAAAAAATTTGGTTTTTCTTTTCCGAGTTCGTTTGGCTCTTCTACCCGACCGATTTTTATGATTGAGGTCTCAAATTGAAGGTATGCACGCACAGATTAGCCTAGCCATCAAGCATCGGCATATATTTATCTATAATCCCACTCTGCTTATACGTAAACGTAATTTGCTCCCCATGTATTTCTTATGGGAGTTATATTTGGTTTTTCTTTGCCGAGTTCGATTGGCTCTTCTACCCGACCGATTTTCATGATTGAGGTCTCAAATTGAAGGTATGCACGCACAGATTTGCCATCAAGCATCGGCATATATTTATCTATAATCCAACTCTGATTATATGTAAACGAAATTTGCTCCCCATGCATTTCTTATGGGAGTAAAATTTTGTTTCTCTTTTCCAAGTTATTTCACGGACATTATACTTATTTTAACGCTGCGGAGCAACATGGGTCCTCTGTCTTATATAAAAAAAAATTGGTTTTTCTTTTCCGAGTTCAATTGGCTCTTCTACCCGACCGATTTTCATGATTGAGGTCTCAAATTGAAGGTATGCACGCACAGATTTGCCATCATGCATCGGGATATATTTATCTATAGCCCCACTTGGTGTATACTTAAACGAAATTTGCTCCCCATGTATTTCTTATGGGAGTTAAATTTGGTTTTTCTTTGCCGAGTTCGTTTGGCTCTTCTACCCGACCGATTTTCATGATTTAGGTCTAAAATTGAAGTTATGCATGCACAGCTCTACCTGGTTTTTATTTGAAAATGACAATAAACTATTAGAATAATTTTCATTAAGCCATCTCAAGAATTGTTCTTAAATTATTTTATTTAATCTAAAATGAAATAACCATCAAGCAATTTGACACAAATTTAATTTATAAATTAGGGCAAGCCCTAAAGGCTTTGGTCGTATGTGTTGACCTGAATAAATGTGGAAAACAATCCCAGGTCTGAACCCAACTGAATAAGGGCGTAATTTTTGTGAGTAGTCTAGTTTTAAATCAAGAAATTTTCATCTAAAAGGTATAGTTTTTTGTATGTTTAGCTTCTTAAGTAAAGAAGGAAGGAGTCTATTACCATTAGGGGTGCTAGTAGGACCCTTATCATCTATCTTCTCAAGTTAAAAAACAGGGTTTAAGGGGATCCGCCACCTTTAAATAGTAATTTTTTTATTTTTTTCACATTTTAAAAAAATGTTATTTTTTTGTTCTGCATACTTTTCTGAGTATGTGGGTGAAATTTGAAGACAAACTGACAATTTTTTCTTTAAATAATATTAAAAAATAGAAGTTGTTACAAATTGCTATAGAAACGGTACCTATAGCCTACTTTAAAGCCCGTTTTCCGCAAGTTCTGTTTTTCCGTGTTTCTTATTACATATGTTTGAATAACTTTTAAAGTATTATAGATAAACCAATAAACTTTTTACCACTTGTTCCTTGTTATATTACTAGGATAATTGGTCATAAGAAATTGTATAGCTAATAAAATAAAATAATTATGATTTTTTTTTAATTTGTAAAATAAAAATTTTTATTTTACAAATATAATTGCTTGTAACTTTTTTTTCTGAACTGGTATTTTAATTATAATGACCAAAAGTTTCTAGGTATTATAAGGATAAAAATAAATCAATAATCATTACAATTGATCAAAAAATAAAAAAGTTATTCAAAGTTTAGCAATGTACCTAAAAACGCTAGGTGAAAATTAAATTTAAAACCGCAAAAGCTCATTAAATAAAGGTCCTAAATATAATACCTGCATAAAAAATGTCTAACTTACTAAATACAAAAATTGTCATTTAAAGGTGGTATAGATCCCCTTAAAAGTAATCTGCTGTATATCCTTTTGCAGTGTGAGGTAGACCATGCAATGACACTTAAATTTATTTAGGTCAACTTAATGTTTCCTATTAGAAAGAATAACACTTATTTAAATTTTGACAGAGTGATCAAGAATGACAAGAAAAATGAAAAATGGTATTTTTTTAAATAATTTTATTTAAAAAGTTTCTTATATCTAAAATAAATCGATCAATTAAAAAAAATACAAGACCAATTACAATGCTTTGTCAACAAATACAGCTGATGCTTCAGTCACTTCAGATAACCATCAGTCGAGGAGCTATGTTCATGGACATGAGTTCTTGGAACAACAGTTTAGCTGCATATGGTAGTCTCACTTGGGAAATCTGCAAAAATAAATAACATTTTTGTATGTTCTTACTTTATTCGTATATTCATCCATATCATTATACTTTATGTGTGATCAGTATGTAAATTTATTTTTAAGATTGCAAACACAAAGGACTTACAACCATGTCTCGATATTAAGGAAAATAGAAATCAAAATCCTGCTCATCTATCAATCCATAGGCCTAATATAGACACCGTTTTACAGACTTTTTCCTATGAGTCAGTTTGATTTCTATTAATCTTTTTGGTGATGACTTGTAGTGTCACTAGTGTCAGTCAATTATTTATTGAAATTGTATTGAGGCCTGTAAATGTATGCTAGATACAACCATGGATAAAACCTTTGACTTCAGTATCCAATAGTCAATGAACCACAAATCGTGTGACACATATAAGTTGATAAGTTATTTCATATTGGTAATTTTCAGACCTACCAACACTGAAAACCTTATAATAGCATTAAAATAAATGCGAAATGTTTGTTGTTACCTGTGTTTTATTCTTACAGCCCTTGCATTCAAAGGTGTTGTTTCTCAGGTTGGCAATGGCAATCAGGCCGCAGAAGTTGCACACATGGATTCTGTACGGATCTGACACTTCAAACAGACGCTCCCTCAAGAACTGAGCAGCTCCGTGTGCAATCTGACAGTCTCGCTCCATTTCTCCGAACCGGAGACCTCCATCTCTGTTGAAGACAAGTAAAAACTGATTTCAAAGATCTTTTTAGACCATTTGTTGTATTACAAACCCCATTATGTTCCTAATCCTACTGATCCAGTATAGAGCATATCACAACCCAATAGCCAATCATAAGAAATAAAATTTTTTTCTAACCATATTTGTCATTTATTATTTGGGAAAATAATTTTCAAAGGTTGCTTCCAATAAAACATACAGTAATAATGGTAATTTAACAAATTCCTTTCTTAAGCCTAATTCAAATTAACACCAGGCTTTATAAAATATAATTTCTTCTACTTAGCATATTAATAAAAATGCCCTAAGACTAAGTGGTGGTAAATCAAATAAAATAATTTACACATTTTACCATCAGAATAAAAATTACATAATTGTAAAACTTGTTAGTTTCTATAGAATAGAAGACCATTTCTTAGGAATTAACACCAACCAAAATTATATTGATTATCTTTTGAGTAAAAATCAACCACGAATGTAGTGCCTCACCTAGCTCTGCCCTCCATGGGTTGTCGCACCAGGATCTGCACAGGTCCTCGCGCGCGAGAGTGAATCTTGTCGTCCACCATGTGCTTGAGTCTCTGGTAGTACGTCGGCCCAATGAACACCTGCGCATTGATCTTGCGCCCCGTGTGGCCGTTGTACATAACCTCGTTGCCTCTCAGCTGGTAGCCGTACTCCTGCAGCAACGTTGAGATCTTCTGCACGTTCACAGCGTCGTTGAAAGGCGTAGCATCACCGATCTCTCCCTTGTTTGAGGATACCTACACCACAAAGGATACAATATGGCTGTGCAAAAATATAAATTATTTAGACGTTCATCAATACATACATTGGTCAATAGTCCTAAATGATAGCAAAACAAAAAACATCCTTGTAGAAAATGCTTACACGCCTTAGTAGTAAAATTGTAATAAAAAAAAAAAAAAAAAAAACTAATAAGATGTTTTAGGCCTAATAATTAAGTTTGGGGAGGCGAGCTGGTCTAGTGGTTAGAGCACGGCCTTCGGTCCAAGATGTCCCGGGTTCAAATCTCGCCAAATCACCCATGGATTTTATCTAAATGATAATGCCACAACCTCTAGGCCTAGCCTGAAGTAATGTGAAAAACAATCCCGGGCTTGTGCCTAGCGTCCTAAAAAAAAAGTGAAAATAAAGTTTGATTGAAGATTGTTTGTGATTTTATGTCACAGCTAATAGATTGTAGTTCTATATAAAATATTGATCCAATGATCTTGGGCCTACAACCTATGAAAAATACTCATTTTTGACCAGGAATACTTTATATCCCCATAGTTTTTATTACTTAGGATGTAAAAAGAATATACATAGGTCAGCAAACTTTTCACACTTGGATTATTTATGTTGTGCTTAGTAGTCAAGGCTTTTATTTACCTTTCCCTGAAGACACTCAATTAAATGGCCAATTGTCATTCGAGAAGGGATAGCGTGGGGGTTGATAATGATGTCTGGAGTAATGCCTTCACAGGTAAAAGGCATGTCCTGTAACAATGAAAGCACATCATCAAAATAAATTAAGCTTATTATACAGTTAGTTTAAAGTCCATATTTTATAAACTCTCTTAAAACAAAACATGGATTGGAATGACATTTTAAGGAGCCTTATAATCGAGTACCACGGAGAGTACACCTACAAATAACGTTAAAAACTCCAAACATCAATGAGGCTTGTGAAAGGGCAGGCCTGTTGGTTGCCATTTAAAAACATATCTCAATGTTTTAAGCTCAAACTTAGCAAAAAGGAAAAAAATCATCTTCTCATAAACTTATCACCACACAGGGCCGTCCGAAGGGGGGGGGGCAACCTATTTGTATTAAAATACATGATTTGAATATTCGAATGTGACTATTACGGGGGGGGGGGGGGGAGGGGGCGCCACGACCACGTTTGCTCCGGGCGCCGCCAACCCTAGGTACGGCCCTGTCACCACAGCTTGTTAAGTCCAGAAATAATTACCTCTTGACGATACTGGATACCACAGGTTCCTTTCTGTCCGTGTCTTGATGCAAACTTGTCCCCGATTTGAGGGATGCGCACCGACCTCACTCTGATCTTACAGAACTTGTAGCCCTCAGAGTTGAGAGTCAGCATCACTTGGTCGACAATACCTGTCTCACTGTTACGCAGGAACGTGCTGGCGTCTCTCTTGGTGAAGCGTTTTGTAGTTCCTTCCAACTGAAACACATGATCTTAACTGAGAATCAATGATAAGGTTAAAGGATTGTTGAGTATATAATATGTTCTTCTGTTTATTGATTTATAACATTGTCACTTAACATGATTTGTGCCATACAAATAAGTGAAATAACCATACGAATTTGAATCAAGATTGTATTTTCTTTGAGCACAACACAATGTAAAAATAATTTTTTCCAAACCAATATAAAAAGCTTACAACAATTAAATATTAAAGGCCGTGCAGTCACTTACTGTGTAAAAACCTATTTTTATCTATATTTCTGATTTTGTTTTAAACCCGTTAAACATATTACAGTAGACTCCCTCTTATTCGGACTCCTCGGGACAGAGGCCAGTCCGGATAACGGCTTTTCCGGTTAAACCAACGTCCCCAAAAACTCGTTAAAACGGACAGTTTACGTGATCACTGGTCTCAAATCTTTCCCACGAGACCAGTCGTTTGAGTACCATCCACTTCCTGCGGATCTAGTCCAGTTAAACCAATGTGCTGATAAAAATTCTCCAGTTAAAGAAATGTCATTTCCGCCGAGTGTTGTCCGGTTAAACCGATGTCCGGTTAAAAGGTGTCCGGATAAGGGGGAGAGTCTACTGTATAGTGTTCCAAGCTCTTCTGGGAAAATTATAAAAAAACATTAAATATCTTTAGTTTAATTCAGACAAATATATGGTTATCCAAAAGGTATTTGGTGTACAACAATTATAACTAAAAAAGAAACAGAAAGCTATTTGGCTAGTTAGGAATTATTAAGAAGGAATAGAGAACTAGGAACTATAGAACTAACTACGAACTTAACTAAGAAAAATACAGTCCAGGGTTATATACACAATAAAAGAACACAAAGACATACAGATTAATATTTTGTCTTGATGAATTTTTTTTATTTAAAATCTACTTTCTGAAGAAGTCTTACAAAAGGATGAAATATCAGTATGTTTTGTCTTCTTTTATCGTCTACTAGTCCCTGTCCCTGGAATCTAATTTTCTTAAAGTATGGAGAAAATTAACTTCTATTACTTCTATAACTTTATATTATTTCTTAACTCTATTACTTAAAAAAAAAATGCTAACGTATAACACTTGTAAGGCCATGTACCTCATCCTCGTTGTCTGGAAGTGTCATCGTCTTGCCGATGACCACGTCATCTCCAGACACACGCAGTCCAGGAGCAATGATGCCATCATCATCTAGCTTGTCATAGATAGCATTACGCATGCCCTGCAAGTCAAATCAATATTAGCGTAACTATACACACCGTACAAATACTGACACAATCAATCATCATCAGGTCCTCATACTGAGTTTATATACAAACAAAAGATATAATTATGCTAAGAGTAAATTTCTCGGCACCAAAGTATAATTCAAGAAGAGAAAGTGGTTACCGTAATTGAAGATATTGTACTGTACAGTAGAACTCCATCTATCCGAACTCCAATTAACCGAATTACCGATTATCCGAATCGCTTATTTCAACAATTTTAAAAACGTAAAGCTACAGCAATAATAAGTTTTGCAAAATATCAAAGAATTGTTATTATTTAGCCAGTGTGTAATTTTGGACTTTGATGGAACACAATTAACTTGAGAACATACTGAAAAATGTTCTGATTTCATTTATAATTATAATTAAAAGTGCATTTAGTACCAAACGTGAGGATTTTTTTGGAAATTCCTGGAACTCCTATAAAACTCCGACTATCCGAATTTTTAATTATCCGAATGGGGTCTGGTCCCAATTGATTCGGATAGTCGGAGTTCTAAAGTATAAGGATAGATTAAAATTAGGGATGAACGAAAAGTATAAAACAATTAAAGAAACATGTAAAAAAAAAAAAAAAAAAATTAAAGAAACATGTAAATTAAATAAGAACGCCTCCTCAAAGGAAATGCAACAACAAAGTGCTCCTGTATTGCAAGTATTTCATTGACTTTTTGCAGGAGTTTTTAATGTTCTTGATCTCTTCTCAAAAAAATCTTGATAAAAATAAAATCTCGTCATGTAGAACAAGATTTAAATTTCCCGAAAATTTCTCGAAATATTGAGACCCGTCCATCTCTAATTAAAATTCAATAACTCATAAAGAGTTTGAGAATTCAATATCTCATAAAGAGTTTGAGAATTCAATAACTCATAAAGAGTTTGAGATTTCAATGGAAAAATATAAAACAAAATTAATACTACATACCTGGCATGTTTGTCTTGTAGGTTTCTCAAACTGTTCTTCTTGATCTCCAATTCGTTTAGATTCCGCATCTTTGTATGATCGGAAAAAGACAGACCTGCACACAATAAAAAATTGTCTTTTCATAGGGTACCTAGCTAAAACTTTTTAAAATTATCTTATCCTGTTCATTAGTTGAGAGACATTCCTATATAGACATACCTGCTTCAATAAACAAGTAACAACAATAAGTAACAAGGTAACAAGTAACAATAATCAGATTAACCACATTGCGGCTTCACCGGGACACATTCCAGGGTAAATAAGTAAAATTAAATGGAGAGGGACGGTGTTTTTAAAACTGTAAATCAATGTTTTTGACACTGCAGTGTCTTTTTCTTGGAAGGAATGGCAGTAGGATGTAAACTCCATAAATCACCGTCACCAGGCTGGCCTAGGCTCACTCAAGGCCATAGAACCTCCCCACTTACTGCGATTGCAATACAATGCTCAAAGTGCAGACAAAATTGTGTTAAGAAACATAAAAGTAGTGTCAAACAGAGATATTTCATGGTTCTAAAACAGAAAACTGTAGATATTACTTTCAAAGAAATTAATTCATGGTAATTTGTGTCTTGTAAATTTTTTCTTTGATCTTAAGGACTGTAGATCTTCTTTGTATTTACAAGTGTCATTGTGTTGAAATAAGTTTGTTATTCATTGTGATTCCTATCAAATACAACATTCAATTTTGTTTTAATGCAATAAAAATGTGTTAGTTACCATAATTTAATACTGTCTTGTATTTTAATACAGGCCTTGTCCAGACTCCCGCTAGTCCGGATCGGCAATCGTGATTTTTTTTAGCGGCACAGTACAGTAGAAGTCCGATTATCCAAGCTAAATAGGACCGAGACAACCTCGGATAATCAAAAACTCGGATAACACGGCGTTACAAATTTATTACCAGTGGAACTGCATTTGCCTTTCTATCAATACTGTCTAGTGTCTATCAATACTGTGGACCTGGAACTAAATTGAAAAAACGGCTATATATACAGTACTGTATTTGCTAAACTCTCGATAGTCCGGATTTTTCGTAGTCCGGACCAGACGTCCGCCACATTAGTCCGGATGAGCAAGAGTCTACTGTATTCTTAATAGTATTTTGCGGACCTTGATTTTACATAACCGGGAAGCCTGAGCCCTACTTTATTTCGGTTAATCGGCAGTTGAGTATACAATTATATAATTTTCATATATAAAAAGAGTCAAGTTTTCTTTTAAAATCAGTTTTAAGCTATGGTGAAATAGGGATTCAACAAAACATGCTGAACTACAAAGAACATTACTAATACAGACCTAAAGAAGCCTCTCTCAACGGCAGATGCATTCAAGATGACACTGTCCTCCTGGTTGTAGCCCGTGTAGCAGAGAATGGCCACCACAGAGTTGATGCCTGCAGGGAGCTCTCGGAACCTCAGATACTCCATGGACCTGGTGGTGACTAGTGGCTTGTGAGGGTAGTACAGCACGTGAGCCAGGGTGTCCATCCGCACGTGATAGTTGGTGATGTACACTCCCATGGCTTGTTTACCCATAGCGCTCTGCAACACATAACATTGTGTCTAAGAGACAGTTCTTGAAATTGAAATATGAAGTGTTTTGACAACAAAAATGTGATTTGCTCAGTATAAATGATATAAAAAAAATTAAAGAAATAGATAAAATAAATGCATACATAAACGATACACGATTGAGATAATGTTAAATTTATAGGGTCTTTTGATCAGAGAAGTTTTTTTAGAGATTACATAAGCATTTACACAAGAAAACACTACGACGATAAGTGTTAAGCACTTCTAAATTCATCTTAAATCCACACTACAACAAAATGGCACTATAATCCGGTTTTCTCTGTGAAATTTCAAAACTCACACATAACTCCCAACTTTTTCCCAACACAAACATTTTTCCCCCCGTCTATGGCCACCCTGATTGTGTACAAAATCGAACCCTGGTCTAACATATGTTTACCTGGTAGGTGTTCCTAGGGGATTGGTTGTGGTCAGGGAAGGGGATGATGGAGGCGCAAACTCCCAGTATCATCGCAGGGTGGATCTCACAGTGAGTGTAGGATGTACAGTAGGCGTACTCCTTCTCCTGCTGTAGGTCCTGTGGTGTCATGGCTATCATGGTGGTCTCCTCCTCCAGAGTATCAATGTACTCCACCACACCACTGGACACCAGCACTTGCCACCTGACCAAGACAACAATCAGAATTAAAAACAAATATGGTAGTGTAAATAAAGAGTTTCACAAGTTATTAAAGACGGAATAATTTAGACCTCACATAAAGAGAGAGGAAAATGTCATACACCAATGTTGCAAATATTGAGTTCGTAATAATATTATCAAGTGATGAATAAATTATAGGTTTTAAAATTGACATAAACAATGAATTTACATCAGAAGGGAAATATTTTTGGTCACACCTAATTATATTTTTAAGACTGGAAAGTCGTCCTTGCAATACATGTGTAGCCTACGCTGCAATGAGGCGGATCACCACATAGGCTACTGATATCACTTGTGAATAGAATTGTGCCATCTGCAGCTCTGTTGTAGTGTACGCGAAACTACCCTTACTTAAAAAAAACAAAACACCCCAAGTAGCATAATATCAGTGTCATAATAAATGACCTTCAAACAAAGAATTTCATGCTTTCTTAACAAATTTCAGTAAAGGGGAATTTTCATATAATAAATCTATCTAGGAATGATAAACAGTTGAACTCACCCATAATTGTTGTAGTCCCGCTCCTTGAGGTTGTCTATGTGACGTTTCTTCAGCAGCAACTGTCCGTTCTCCACAATGAGCAGTGGTCGACAGATGCGCCCAGCGTCTGTGTATATCCTGATCTCCCTGTCACGGATGTCTCGGATGATGGACACCTCACTGACAATGATGTCCATCTGTCGCCTCAGCTTGCGTAAGGTTCCCATCAGCTGTTCAGGGTCTCTGTGTATTCCCACCTGAGTGCATTCAGAGTAATCATGTTAGCCATCACAAATTGAGCTAAAAATCCTTGTCTTTGAAACAAGGGAATATCTAAGGAATAGTAATGCGTGTGTGAATGAGAAAGACCTCTTCCAGCATTTTAAATGTTGAGAACGTGATGATATCTAAGTCAGTTTTTATTTTTTTAATTGGTCAAGTGATTGGAGAAGTGGCAGCAGTGGAAGAGGCGGAATATAGAGAAAGATGAGAGAAGTTGTTGGTGCAGCCAAATCTTGCCTTGGGCATATAAATGGCCATGGGAGTGAGTGAGTGAGTAAGTATTAATTTTTTAAGTGGTATCCACCAAAATAACTCCTCACAATTCCTATATGATCCCACTACAAATTTATAAGCTTAATATAAACATAAATAACATGATTAAACTCATATGAACTATAATAAAAAATTAGCTTGAGTAGAAGATGAAAAGTAGAACTGGTGGAGGATAAGTGGAGGACAATTTACTCGGCAATCACAGTAACACTGACGACTTTCAAGATCCTAAAAAAATCAGCTTTACAATATACAAAATTTAAGTACTCCCAATGCATTGTTTGTGATTTTGTCCTTTTTTTCTACAACAAAAATTTGCTGTTCGTCTGGAGTGCATGGCAGTTGTACAGAATTTGAAGATAAATTAAGGCATGATATCTAAACTAGTAAACAGTGTGCAACATTTATGTAAAACACACAGTACCTACCCAACATCCATTTACAAATATTTTGGTAGCATCAGCTATGGCGGAAGGCGCGATCTCCTCCAAGTTCTCCATGCTCCACTCTTCCAAGAACTCCAGGATGGGTGATGGCTGGGAGCCGACGGATATGTAAGCCATCAGTGCCAAGTTCTTGACCAGACCTACAGCAGCACCTTCTGGAGTCTCAGCAGGACAGATCATGCCTACAAACAGAAGCACAACACGGTTAGTAATTAGTAGGCTATGCAAAATTCACCATTCAATTAGTTTGGCTTTTAATATATTTTACTTCAATTTTTTATTCTGCTTTATAGTCTATGGGATTAAATCCAGTACAGTTGACTCACAATTTCGCTCTCAGACATTTAAGAGGTTGTGAGGGTCGGACATCTTAATTAACATCAAAACATCTTTGAATTAAATAAATTGTTAATATTGCACTACAGATTAAGAAAATGCTTGTTTATGTTTGGTTCTGATATCTTTGACTAGTCAGTGGCTCCATCAAATTGGCTAAAATCAACTAATTAATTTTTTTATTGAGTAGAAAACAATCAAATTCCATACTGTACAGAGGCTAGATGGCTACTCATTTGGGTTACTGAACGTTTCAAACTATTGAATCACAGATTGTCGAGTGCCAACTGTGAGTTAAAACTTATGTCAAGCTAAACAAAATTGGTATGCATCTCAACAACACAATAGTCAATCTATAAACCCACTCACCCCACAGAGTATTATGCAGCTGGCGAGGCTTGGCCAGTTTACCATCTCGACCAATGGGAGAGTTTACACGACGCAAGTGAGACAAGGTAGAGGCGAAAGTCAATCGATTCAACACCTGTACAATAGAAAATGTTACTACTACTACTGCTTAAAAATAAATAATTTCCCAACCAAGTTGAGGGTTGCTACACAACAGTGACGGTTCTAGGACTTTGCCAAGTGGGGGGGCTTCCCTGGGGATGTTTGTTCCACACCCCCAAGAAAAAATTTATTTAGCTGCTTGGTGGATTTCAAAAGCCATTTTTAATGTCTAGAAATGTGTCCAAAAACCTCCGTTACGTTCCAAAGACGAAATGTAAGTTTACATTTATTTTTCCTGGGCCCAATGGGGAAGGGAGGTTTAGCCCCTATAGCCTCCCTCTTGGAATTGACACTGTTATACAATAGTGCTACACAACACAATTTCACACTTAAGCATTGCATAGTAAGTTAAGACAGCATCTATATACAAAGTGTAATCTATGTTAAATATATGAGAGTTGAATGTACCTGAGACACCCCAGCTCGGGCCTGATGAGCCTTCTTCTGATCTCCCCAGTTACCTGTGGCCAGGGAATACCTCAAACCATCTGTAATTATCTTTGTCTTGATAGCGAGTTCCAAGTTGAAGTCTTTTCCTCTGTCAATAAACTTTTGAGCATACATCCGCACTTCTTTCATTAAATTCTTGAACAGCCTGAAATTTTTTTAAAGACTTAATGTGAATATAGTAAAAAATGTCCTTATATCCTACCCCCGAATTTGAGCCTGGTAAATAAATTGTTCCAAATTGTTTTTAGTTGGTCTGCAAGTAACCTGATTTGATTTACCATTCATCCAAACCACTTTAAAGATAATAATTAACTAATTGATAAAACAGGCCCTGTTAATATTTTACGATAGGCTATGTTAATTTTTCATATTATCTCTAATGTTATAAACAAAAATTGGTAAATGTGCGGAATCATAAAAAAAATTAAATATGAAATCAATGGTATTAAAGTTTATGACTGAAATTACCATTTTCCATGGTCAACTTTGGCTGGATATGTATAATCAAATTCTAGTTATTTTTCCCAATTACTTTGGCACTAAAAAGAACAAATTATACATTTAACATCTTGAATATTGAGAAACAAGGGCCAGATACATAGGAATCACAAATAAAAATAGTGTTAGTAATCTTTGATACATTTTCAACACTTGAACGTTCATTAATGGTTTGATGTGGGTATGGTACAGTATCATTAAAAAAAATTAAAACAGAGTGATTTTTCAACAAAAATAAATTTACTGTTACGTAATTTAGCTTAAAGAAGTATATATGGAAATAATTAAGAAGAAAAAAACTTTAATGTTATTTACCCTCTGAACAGGAATGCAAGAAGAGGTCCAGCTAAGTCTAGACGTTTGTTGCCGTAGTGATCTCTGTCATCGAGCTCTCTGCGACCAAGGGCTGCTAACAAGAGTCTGTGTACCATGTACCTGGACACAGCATGTAACAACATGTCACCATGAAACATTTATGCTTATACTAAACTAACAGTAAACAACATAACTAGGAATAGCAAGGCCTAGTACTGGGAGAGAAAAATTGCCCATTAAATGATTTCCCTTCATAAGTTACGATACATGGAATTACTTTCGGTGTAAACAGGTTTGTTTACCCTAATGTAAAACATATTTCTTTGTCTATATCAAGCTATACATGCGCTCAGTGCAAGCGTCTTGGGCTGAAAAGGTAGACTTTCTGAGTTCAAGGCCAGAAATAATTCATTCCCCACACAAACATTAAATTAAGCTCAGAGTATAGGCTGGGATGACATTTGTTTTAGCAAAAATGCTACAAAAAAAAAAAAAACTGTAGCAAAAATATTATTCTTTAAGCATTTGAAAATAATGTCCAGTAATATTACATGTTTGTACATTACATCTTCAATTTTATTTGTAGCAAATTAAATATACTGTAGCTTGCAAAAACGATATAGCATTTTTAAGTTGTGTACGTATAGCAAAATCAGGGTGTCTACAAGGCCAACCAGAAAAAAATTCATGAGTAATTCCAGGTAGTTCAGGCGTACTTTTCATACTAAACTTTCCAAAGCGTTTTTGTGCCAACTGCAATGCTGTTTAAGCGCTGACACAGTTGGCTATTTTGGTTATCGGAAAAAGCATTCTAAGTTAAAGAAACAAAATTTATGATTACTGTACTATTTATTGCCAGACACAAGTATGCAATTTTTATATTAAGCCTACTAATTAAATAATCAGAAAATAAAAAAAAAAAACTAATCCTTAAACTTGCAATTTATCAATTAATAACTTTTAAAAAATAGTGATATATTGATACCAAAATTTTTTCGAATCTCCTGACCAATATTGACACCTGAAAAATAGATTCTTAATACTGATAATTTTAATTTTACCAAATCTTCTGTAAGGATTACTACACCAACCCCTGGCTTTCACGGAAATGCCATCGTTGTATCCCGTTGTCACGGAAACATCATTTTTATGTGCGATCGGGTAAAATTGAAAATTACTGGTAAAATATGAAATTCACGCATAATTCCCAGTTTAAAAAAATCACGCATGTAGCCTAATACCCTGTGGACACCCTGAAAATGCTAAAAATGCTAACGCAGCTTAAGCCTGATTAAGCTGAACCCCGGGCTGAGTTTGTGGTTTGCCTAAATAGTAGGCCCGCACTATCTGTAATGATAGTTTTTACTTTCCCTGCTCTATTTAATCAGTAGGTCTATATGGAAAAAGTATTGTTTTCCTAAAAAATTTTTGAGTTAAGTCCCCTTGAACACAAAAAAGTGTTTTTTTTTTTTAGGCCTATGCTGAATGATAAAATTACAGCATTAGTTGGAATTGATATAGCCTAAACTAATTGACAATTTAAGGACTCACCCTAAAAAGTAAGCTTTTTTCGTTTCACAAAAGTCAGACACTCCGACATGGGGAAGCATTTCTTTCTGCAAAATTTCCCTAGCATACTTTATACGTTTTTCTTTGGTCACACCGGGTCTTGCGCCTCTTGCTCCAATGAAGTTCAATGCAACGTTCTGTTCTTGGATGACAAAGGCTTCATCTAAAGAGGGCTTTACCTGCAAAAGATAATTGAAGAGTCGATAATTCTTTGGATTTTAGAATAAAAGACTTAACAAACCCATGCTTAGTCACAAGAAGAACTCATCACAAAATATTGCGGAGAGGGGGAGCCAGCTGGAAAACGCACTGGCAATTTAGTAGTTCGTTGTATCTCATCTGCAAGAGCAAGTGTTGAACATCCATATAGTAGCACAAATGTTGGCCGCCGGTGACATGATAGTTCAGCTGGCTAAGCGGTTGCACTAAGGAGTATAGCACTGAGGGTATTATACATGCGCGAGTTTGGTTCTCATACATGTGCAATTCTTACTAATGTGGCTTAAGCCAATGGGAGGGCGAACTTAAAAATGGTGGTTAGCCTGGGTATTTTTACACTAGTTTTGAGTAGGACACAATTTTTTTGGTTAACCATTATTATAGTGTTAAAATTCAGATAGCCTACCTTAAAAACATAAAACGAAATAAAAAACCTATGTAAATTACATTGACAAAGGAAATTCTAGTTTCAATGGGTTAAAGCTGACCAGTTTTAACTCTCACCATTTCCATCATCTCAGGGTCATCAAAGTCGTAGATGATGTGTTCCAGAATATCCCTGTCAGCCACAAATCCCAGGGCTCTGAACACAATCATGATGGGGATCTCCTGTTTGATGTAGGGCAGGATTGCTATGATACGCTGACCAATGGCTGACTTTTTAATGCTCTGAAATTGTAAAAATAAATTAGCACCTAGTTACATAAGCAATTCAACAAACCACAAGTCATTATCGAGTATTCTAACTTCTAACCCTAACAGAGTTGGGTATCTGAAATTAACACAAACCATTATGCATTTAGCATTTGACTTTTAATAGTGGCTGGCAATTCAGTGGTTTAGTTTAGTCAAGCATTAAACTTAATTAGAGAAAAGTTTAAGTCATCAAAATATAATTTGAAAAAAATTAGCCTATAGCCAACAACAGACTTTAATTTGGTGGAAAATTTGTTTCAAGATCTTTCTCTCTATAGAATGTTTGTGGAAATTTTAAAACTAGGCCTATTTAAAGTAAGAAATACCAAACAGATACAAAAATATGTATAATTATTGTTACTTTTGTGCCCTAGTGTCTTAACTAACACCATTGTCAAATGGGTTTGGGAATAAGAGGGATTTTGGAGGAAGGAGAAATTAGAAGTCTCGGTGGGTTATTTATAGGTTGAGCACAAGGGTTTTCAGAAATTCAAATACTGGTTATTGGGTTTTCTCTATGCGCTAGATATTTGAAAATAAAACACTGTAAATCGCTAGCAGTAGGCTTTTATGGTAAAAACACCACATGTTCTGTTACCTGTCCTCCCCTGGCCATCATGTTAACCCAGAGAGTGGACGTTGGTCTGGAGGAGTGTTCTAGGCATGACCGGATCTCAGCTTTGTATGCAAACTTGCCGTCTTTCATACTGAACACATACACTGTGTTTGTAGCCATCTTCTCCTGGGCTATCAATACCTGCCAATCAATAAACACATTTATATTTTAAAGTAATAAAAACGTTAAAGCTCAAATTAATTTTAAGTAAGTTTTGATAATCAAAAACAATGTATTTTGCAGGATGTCTAAATTATTTTGTTGAAATTATTGTAGGCCTAAGCTTTACCTTTTCTGATCCGTTTATGATGAAGTAGCCACCTGGATCTAATGGGCATTCATTCAACTCTGTCAAATCTCGATCTGTTAGACCATTCAGTAAACAGTATGTTGATCTAAGCATTATAGGTATTTTGCCTGAAAAATAATAACAAGGTATATATTAATTATTTCACAATTTGAGAAGACAATTTCAGAGTTAATTATCTAGGGTCCATTCTTAAAGCCTAATATTTAATGCAGAAAGTGACAGTGCCATAATGACTTCATGTAGGCTATAGATATAAACTTTGTATTTAATCTGACAAAATAGGTCTCATATATGAAACCAAAAATTATTCCAATGTAGGCCTACTATAGTCCTCGCCCCACCCTAAGTTGAGGCAGCCCAAGGCCGCAACGCGTATATCTAGTGCGGCCTTTGGCTGCCTCAACTTAGGGTCGCAAGGACTATAGATAGGTAGTAGCTTGATAAAAAACAACCTAAAAATTCAATAAAATAAATAAATAAAAGCCTAGATTACAGAATAGGATAATATCCAGATTATTTCAAGATTATCAGAGAAATAAATAAGTTAAGGTGTTAAACTTTTTATTCCTAAAACAAAAGGCTAGGCCTACACAAACACTTAGTTCATTTATAAAATTTCTTCAGCCATACTGTTCACTGCTTTAAGGTAGGCCTATGCATTGGTTCCAAGACATCTACGTATCCTAATTTATTTGCCAAACAAAATTGAAAGATTCAAAGAACTGTGTGTTTACGGAAACTTTTATTTATACTAACCAATAAAAGACTTTTGATGTTGTGTCTCAATAGGATCTTCTCCTTCTTTCACAATTGTTTTTGTAATGTCAACGTAAAGAGGTGCTGAATAGGTGAGATTGCGGAGTCGAGCTTCATTAGGCATCATAGGTGAAGGCGAACCATCTTTTTCCCAGTGAGTTGGTTTTGAAAGATAAATTTGTTCAAACTTCAATAAGTATCGAGGCTAAAACAATAAAAAATTAAATTAGTTCAGTTGAAAGTAGGCCAATTGTAGAAAATTAAAAACCAGGGAATAAAAGGCTTAGCCTACTGCACAAATACTTCTTGTACACCAAAAGGTTAAAAATACCACATCTCTAGCATGATAAAGAAATTTGAAAATAACTGTTCAGGCCGGGCGGATGCTGAGATGCACGTAACACAACGCAAGGCAGACAAGATTTGCGTTGCAAGCCATGCAGCACACGAATGTTTGGTCAGCGCATGTTGGGGCGCAGCACACACACTACTCAGTCGCCAAGATTGACAATACAGTAAGTAGTAGCAACTCTTTTGAATCAGATATGGGAATTGTTGTTTACCCTATTTTAGTGACATTCAGGTTCAACCTAATGTTTTAGTGAAATGTTAGCAACTAATAGTGAAATAATAAACATGATAAATTTAGCCTAATCAAAATATCTCCATTAACCAGCCAACTACAACAGTTTAGATTATCTCTGTAAGAATATTAGGCCATGAGAGTCTTAGTTTTTTTTCCCTCGTAGATATTATTCAGCTTAATTTACTAGGCCTATATAGCCTCGGTATACTTAACTGGCTGGGTTTTAAGCTCTAAAAATGGCTTTAGAAAAAATTACGAAATGCTGTTCAACGATAGGAAATCAGTTTTTTTTTCAATTAATTAAAGCTTCATTCCTATAGTCTGACCATGCCATTTTGCATCTTCGTGGCTAATATCATACAGCAAAGATAGTATATTCGCTGACCCACTTAATCAGATATTAATTTGTTGTCGTCTTGCACACCGTAGCAATGTCAAAAATCTTTGTCTGTGTTACAAACTGTGACATGCGGAGCCATGCAGCAAGTTGCAGACAAATCCACGTGTGCGTCTCAGCTAACATGAATGCATTTCAAGGAAACATGGTGGCACAGTTTTCTGCCGTATGCTGCATTGCGCCGCATGCAACTCAATATTTGCACTTGTCATATTGTAATTATCAGAAGATAGTAGCTACGACAACTTTTAACAAAGCGGCTCACTAAAGCCCATCTTGTTAGAAACACACTTTGTACCGTTTAAGGCCATAGGCTATCTTTGTTTTTATAACTTAAACTATAGTCCTCAACGGATAGTATACACTTACAGGTGTTTCAATTTCACCAGTTGTGTGTTGTGCCTCCGCTTGCAAGTCTATTTGGGGAGAATCTTCAACGATTCTTTGTACAGACATCTGAATAAACTCGTCAAACGAGTCCAACTGCTGTCGTACAAGACCTTTCTCATCAAAATATGCATTAATAACAATCCAACAGGCTTCCTGCCACAGTTCACTAGAGATCTCTTCTGCTTCTTCATCTTCATATTGGTCTGAAATCACAGGAGTTTATTACTTAAGGTGTGGGACACAGTGGCAGCTGGTGGGTTAAAGTAGGTAGTGGGAGAATGCTGGCGTATAAAAGCTTTTTAGGGAGGTTAACTTACTGCTACCAGGGGTTGGTCTTGGTAAAAAAAGTAAAATATTGAGTTAATTAAAAATTGGTTTGAATAGGCTACTTAAAAAAAAATCTTATTCATAATTGTCTCTTTATCCATAGTTAATTGTACCACTATCACACTCTGCAAAAATATTTTAAACAGCATTATTAATTATTAGCATCACTGACCAACACTTATAAAATAAAAATTAACACCTTAAATACCGGAGACATGATTAACATAACCTCTACAAATCACTACATACTGTACGGTATTTACTTATTTGACCAATTAGTGATCAGGGCTCAACGCTCGTTGTGGCAATAGTTATAGAACTACAGAAGTGATTGGTCAATTTTCCCATGCGGTTTATATGGGAGTTTGGACTCATGTCTACTTAGTCCCCATGTATACCTGTTGCAAAAACATGTTGTGTCCATTATCACACGTTCTAAAAAAAATTAACCCTGCTGACGTTTATGTAGGCCTACATTCAAAAGAAGGAATAAGTTACAAATCATATGAAATTGAAAAATCTGTATTGCTCAACATGCATTTTACATTTAAGATGTGACAGTATCATTCACAATAGTAACTGGAACACAATTCTGAAAACATGATTTTTTTCAAATACAGTAGACTTCCTCTTATCCGGACACCTTTTAACCGGACTACACTCGACGGAAATGACATCTCTTTAACCGGACAATTTTTATCAGCACATTGGTTTAACCGGACTAGATTGGCAGGAAGTGGACGGTACTGTAACGACTGTTCTCGTGGGAAAGATTTGAGACCAGTGATCACATGTCTAAATACAATGCTCTCCTAAATTTAAGTCGAATATCACCATAAACGGTCCATTTTAATGAGTTTTTGGGGACGTCGGCTTAACCGGAAAAACCGTTATCCGGACTGGCCTCGGTCCCGAGGAGTCCGGATAAGAGGGAGTCTTCTGTAAATGCTTCTAGGCCCAAGCCAATGCCTAGCAGAAATTATTATAGTTATTTATACCGGTAGTTATATTCTTAAACTGAAGGCCTATCTGTTTACAAAACATCAAAATAGCATAGGCCTAAGTTATAATGAAACATAATAACTCAGTAGGCCTAGTAGGCTTGAGGCCTATTTGGCCCCAGGTAAGATACGAGCACTGAGTGGCGCCGCTCTGACATCGGGTCTCATTTAATTGCTTGTACATTTGTTGAGGGTGGCAACGATACGTCTGAGTGGCGAGCGGCGGTAAGCAACGCCTGCTCATGGTTCCAAGTCCAAACCGATTTTTCGAAAAAATGCCGCTCAGGTGAGTCATGCATCATTTGAGCCGAAAATGTCAGAGGAACAGCACCAAACATGTGATTCTTGAGCCAAACTCAAGAAGACAAAGGTGATGTTACAGATTCTTTGAATTTGAAGTAGAGTGATTCTCAAATATAGAAGTGTTTTGTTAAGTGAGCTGCAGTCCAGGGAACGTTTGTGGTTTTCTAGCACGGAGGTTCCAAAAAAACTTCAGTCATCAGAAAACTATAAGACGAAGTGGAAGCTAAGTTTTTCTTAAGGAGGGAACCGTCAGATAAAACAATAGTTGCAATACGTCTTGCGGTCAGCACAGTTTGCCATCATCGACTAAACTGACTCCTACAAAGAGGGGAAATTCGATGAGTGTTATAAATATGCCGCTTTAATCGCAGTCACCACCGCTACTTACAAGCCGCTCGACGCTCGTATCGTACCCGAGGCCGTACCAGCTTGCTCCCTGACTTGGTAGGCCTGTTAGCTTTTTAAAACTTACTAAAATTCACTTGTAAATGACGACTATTTGTGTTATTATTGACCTGGCTAAAACAGCATAACGTTTAACTTAGTTCGAAATAAACTTTTAACCCGAACCGTTTGATTATCCATGTTTCAGTAAAAAATGGACCCAACAATAAATAACTTAGGCTGCCTTCGACAAGAGTCAACATAGTTTGCTAAAAGACCCGCAGATAGCAGCACTGCTTGGAATGTAGGCCTAGGTGACACAGCCGCTTTGCTTCACGGCACGCCATGCATTACCGGGGATGCAGCCACAGCAACTGTGTTAAACATTAACAATCGTTATCCAAGTTAATAAGCCCAATTTAGGCTTTAAAAACACTTGCTTTCAGCTGCATGAGTAAAACCTTAATACTTTCGCTACCAATCACCACAAAGCCTATAAGTTATGCGACGCTACGGTCATTGCCATGGACTGAGGTAGGCCTAAACTTATACCGTATTTTAATATTAACTTACACTTCTAGACCGGGTGTCACTTCGATCACAATACATGCAGACCACGGGCTAGTGATTCATCAAAGTAAAAAATAGTTCTGCCAAATAACTTAATTGATGTCACTAAGGCCCCGGCCACACGAGGCGGTTTAACCGCGCGAAGTTAAGGGGCTCGACAACACATTGAATCAAATGAGAGTGGCCACACGAGGCAAAGTTTAGCCGCATGTGCGGTTGAGCCGCGCCATGTCGTCCCCCGACCGCGCGAAGTTAAGCCGCGTTGGGGGGGATGACACACGTAGTCTTATGAGAGTGGCCACACGATACGGTTCGACCGCGCGGCAGCCGCGCTTATTGGAGATATTCTTCGGACACTTCCAGTGCTTTTTTAGTTTGTTTTGTGTGTTTGTTACCGGTTGTGTGGTGTTAAAAAAATGTTTGATGTTATTGTCAGACGTTCCTCAGCACTAATTGAACTTCTCATGAGTGTATCTTCTTTAGCTATATGTGGTTGGCGCAATTCAACTAACTTGTCGAACGATGCAGTAACACTAAACACATACATACGGTAATAACCAAAATAACTCCGAACTATGGTTTCGCATGTGCTCGTAAAAAGAAAGATAAGCTCGAAGATAAGCCGCGCGGCTTAAATTCGCCTCGTGTGGCCGGGGCCTAAGATAGGTAGGCCTATCCACTAGTGATGTAAAATACCCGGGTATTTAAAACTCAGGGTAAATACCCTGGGTATTTACCCGGGTAAATACCCAAAATCCATAAATACCCGGGTATTTTGGGTATTTATGAAATCAATTGAAATTAATTTATATTCACCCCTAAATATGTTATTGTTATCATTACATGAAAAATTAGGATAGTCTATAACACCTTTTACAGTAACTTGAAGCTTTGCTAGTACCTTTTATTTAATGATTTAGCACTTTTTTTAAATAAAACTAAATAAGAATGGGGTTTCATTTTTTTATCAAGACAACCCCTCATCAGAGAAATAATGAACCTAAACCTACTTCTACTGTTATTAAATTATGATGGTTAAAAAATTTTATCGTATAAATGGCTTGGAAAGCTAGAGAGACCTAAGGCAGAATGGCAGAATACTAAAAGTAATTAAAATTTTCTGTGTTACCGCTTAGTTGGAAAAAATAATATATTTGGATAAACCTACTAAAAAAATGTATCTCCTCTTTTTTGGTCTAACTTAATATAGTTTTGAAAGATTTATTGTGCTATAGATTTAAATGTTTTGTATCACAAGTTTATGAAATTAGTTTTTTTTTTTTTTTGATACCATTGATACCAACAAAAGATCTAGAACAAAAATATTATTAAATCCTGCCATCCTACAGATTGAGTTTGAATTATTTTCTTAAGTTGTTTACACGCCTAGGCCACTACTAGGTTAAATTTTTATAATTAACTAGTGTCCCTGTTGCTCGAATTCGAGCAATTGCTGGCAATATTATAGGCGTTATTTTAAAACGAATTTCAACCAAGTCAGCAAATGTATGTAGGTACTGTTAAATTAGCAAACTTATTAACTGTTTATAATTAACATGCTCTTCTTCTCACTTTTGATTTCTGACAACAGCTGGAGTTTCATAACAATTTTTGTTTCCAATGTTAATCTTATGGAGAAATTAAAAACTTTAAAGGGCTTCAGGGCCTCACTCTCTCAGTATTTCCGTAAAAAGAAAGTTTCCTGCACAAGTTCACGTAACTCTCTTTCCAATGACACCAAAAACATGACAATCGGTTCAGTAGTTTCGGAGGAGTAATTGTCACAAAAAATCTGCTTGCGTATTAAATAAGTATAAAAATAGATAATTATTACTTTGCAAATTATTTTTCTTCACTTTCAATAAAATAAATTCATCTATCCATCATAGAAATTAAAAAATCATAACAGGTCAGGACCAGTGCAACCATGCGACCAGGGTATTTATGCCGATTATGCTATATGCTCAGACCTGGGTATTTATGGCGATTGTACCCAGAAGTAAAATGCTAGTAGTGACCATATGAAATTTTAATTAACACATTTTATCATCATTTTACTATCCTTACAGGGTGATAATTGCAAAAAAACATCTCAATCTTCTATAACTTAAATAAAAATTATAAATACCCAGTTTTTGGGTATTTACCCGGGCCTGGGGTAAATTCCCGGGTAAATACCCAATTTATATTTACCTACCCACTGGGTATTTACCCGGCCCACATCACTACTATCCACAGATTAACTTATCTTAAGTGACACACACATGGGAAAGACATCTCAGTAGACCACAGCAATTCTGTAGAATTCAGGGCCTCCAAATAGACTGTTACAAAGAAAATAAGCTTTAACATTGGGACGACAACGAAAATATGCGACGTCAGTCAATTTTAATGTGACCTATGGGGGGATACCGGACATTGCATATGTGCGTCATTGCTCCATGGGGTACAGTTTCTTAACTGGGCTATGCTAATATCGATTGAAACTATCGATTCGATTAGTAGCCTACCGTAACTTAAACCTTCATGCGATTTTTTCACCATCAGCAAGTTTGGTTGGTTAGGTTAGGTTGATAGTTTAATTTTATAATAGATATATTTAAAAATACCAATTATTAATCAATATTTTCAATTCGATAGTTTTAATCGATATTAGCATAGCCCAGTTAAGAAACTGTACCCAACCATGTGAATGAGAAATTTGTAAATAATAACCATAATTTATTAGGCCTACTATTGCAATATCAAACTGGTTAATCCGCCAACGAATACTAAAAAATACCGGTACAGAGTTCTGTAACTTAATAGCTATGTATACTAACTTAATAGCATTACCGGTATGGTTTTGTTTACTTTCGGGCCAAATTCGTAGGCTAATTTGTTTATGTTTATGATCCATACCGGGTATTTTCTCGTATTCGTGAATCCTCACCCTATTTAGTGTTTCATTTCCATGTGAATGACATAGGCCTAGGCCAAAACCCTCCGAGTGTTATTTGTCGCTGCAGCGACTCACAAACACTGTTTACGGCGACGGCTCTATGACTGACAAAATCGGATTGAACTGGATCGAGTTAGGTAAGTTATCATTCTTTTCGTTAGATTCTAAGCTTTCTCCAGAGGTCTGTCTCTAAGCGCTTTATGTTCTCCGAGCCGATCGTAATTGTAGCAGACAGCTGACGTGCGTATTTGTAAACAGCTAGGTTACCCTCGGACCGATGACTGATGTGTTTTATTACGTTTATCATTGTTTTAGTGTTAAAAATCAAAAGTAGGCCTAGTGATATACGTGGTGCATTATAAGAAGATTTAAGTGATTTTGAAGGGCTGGTTGATGATCCTGAAGAAGTAGGTAGTGATATTGATGTAAATTATCAGCCAGATTCCTAGCTATGGTTAGGCTACACATTCTAAGCTAAACGCTATGTACTGAAATCTGTTTTTTGCCCATAACTTATTTATTTGCAAATCTACTTCCTTACCTATATTATTATATATTTGTAATCCTCATAAAATTTAGAACAAAGTGGCTATTTTCAAATATTTATAGGCCTATAATTTATACAATTTTATTGAGCGCAAACTTATTTTTTCTTGAAAATTTTCCAAAATATTTTTTTTTACCTAAAAATTTTTTTTGAAACAAGTGTTCCTTATGTTCTATGTATAATATTGAAGCCCATGATTTTCCAAACCAAATGGTATATAGAACAGTATAATTAACATTGTTTTCAAGCTTCTCAGATCCGTTTTAATAAAACCTTGCAAATGAGCAAAAAATAGGCAGACATTAAGGCCAAAACAAGGGACACTCGGAGGGTTATAGAAGCTATATGCCTAAGCCTAAAACACAATATAATTGGCGAAATAGATACAGATCTATGAAAATGATCAATAATTAATGCTGTGAAATTACCATAAATAGGGTAAGCTACTTTTTATAAGACTGATCAGCCCTTACTTACCTTCGTCCAATTCATACATAATGAAGTTGTGCAATCAACTGATTAGCAGTAGTTAAGATCTATGTTAGTTACTTATTTATAGGCTCATGTCGACTCAGTAAAATACAATAATGGTTTTAATAAATAAAAAGTTCTTGCAAAAGTTAACAACAATAAGGACATTGACAGAACGACTGATTGATGCCGTTTCGTTTTCGTTCCCGTTTTCTTATTCTTATTGAAATCGAGATTAGCTAGTTTTCTTCCTCTTTCTGATTTGCTTCAGTGTCAGCAGGCTGTTTTAGACATGATGGAGTCTTAAATTACGAACCGTTGGTTATCTTAATAAAACTTAATTAATTAGAAAAACCAATCCAAAAAGAGTATTTCAATTTGGCAGTTAGCTTCAGTAAAAAACACGGTATAGTTTGTTCGATACTTCACAACAAAATAAATGACAACTTTAATATTAATGATAGTACAGTTCAAATCCTCACTACTGTACAAAAACACTTTGATAACGCTATGCAAGGCATTGATTATCTTCAAGAAAGAGTCTTGGGTTCAATCATAAACTGTATGTTTAATCCATGGTATGTTTAATCCACCCCAAAAGTTAACTAGCAGTAAGTAATTAAACGTAATTAAAACGGCATAAGGACTTTTTTTTTTAAACATATGTATCCTAAATTTTTTATGATACTGATATACTCTCATAGCAGACATTAGGAATTCCACAGTCATTCATAATAATTTTCTGTGTCTTTCTTGCAAATCTTCGGGGGCGAACGATAAATTTCACCCCAGTACGGTAGTATAAAAGAAATTGCTATGCAATGTTCCGGCAGTGTTGGTAGAGGTGTACACGTGAGTTTATACTTAAAATGGGTGATACAGAGTTAGTAGAAGTTAATCATAAGAAGAGACGTCCTAAAAAAACATTCAGTGAATTGGAGCCATGTAAAAAATAAAAGTTTTAAAGAAAATGTGCAGCTAGAGGCTCTGAAACACCTACAACAGTCCTTGAATACTGTAAACAAAATGCAAAAGAGAAGAAAGATGACCTTAAGAATATGATACCATTTCTGAAGGAAGAATATGTAAACACTTTTACAGAGAGTTAACTGTTTAATTTTTAGACCTAAAACCAACACATTTGTCGTTTACCCTTTTATTTTTTTTACGGGTTTTATGATGTTTTATGTTAATAAAACTTGATTTCAATATTATTTTGTTTGATTTTTATTTTACCCGTCTGAAATGTTGAAATATTTAGAATCTTTTATGTTTACTAACTCTGCACATACCCCGTTTTATGGTTTTGAAGTATATAGGTACTTAGCTCGCTTTTCACCAATATGATTATGGTCATACCTCTTGTCTCAAATGTGTAACTTTATAAATTTATAAATTCTATTAGTGACTTTTAAAAAGAGTTGTTTCATCAAATTATGATTACTCATCTTTTGTTGTAGCTACTTTAAATAATCTGGTATACAAAAATTAACAGTAATGGATTTATTGATATTTTTTGCAATAACTCAAAAAGATATTTTTGGCACTTTACCCGGTTTTCATTTCCACTCTACAATTTATAGTAAAACCCCCATCCAACGTAATCTACAGTTCCTAAAGAAGTAGAAACGTTCCTGACCTATTAAAGATACCCGTTGTGAAACCATATTGAAAAGGCAAACCAACCACATGCGATAACTACATACCTCTAGTAACTATATAGTTGCAACCATTGCAAAAATATTAGAAAAATTAGCAAGAACAAAGATGTATAAGATATTTGAAAGAATGTTTATGTTTAGGAACCAATTTAGATTCGTAAAAGGAAAATCAATCACCAATGGAATGTTAAAAAATTATAACAACCGTAATAAGGTCTCTTGACTCAGGAGAAAGTGCATTAGGGCATTTCTTTGACCTGAGCAAGGCCTTTGATACTGTAAATCATGATTTAATCATCAATAAACTAGAATCTTTTGGAGTGAGGGGGCTGGCACAGTAGTAGTGGTTCTTCTCCCCCTGTCAAAAGAGGGAGCAATTCGTATTTCGTTGAGTTCAAAGGAGTTGACATTTCAGGGTGTGCCTCTCGGGATCGCCACCTGCGGGGTTCCCCAGGTATCTGTCCTCGGACCTGTGCTGTTTTTGATTTATATCAATGAACTGCTTTCCAGTGTTGAGGCTGGAGAAATCTGTCTTTTTGCGGATAACAGCTCTTTAGCCCTGTCTGGCTCAACTGCCAAGGAATTGCTAATAACCAATAGTATATTGAAGCAAACAACATAAAGCAGTGGTTTGACTCCAATTTATTAAATCTCAACCAAAAAAAAAAAAACAAGTGAATTGCTCCGTTTTCCATCCAATGCAATCCACTCACAACAATCCTTTTGGACGACGTGGAGATTGAGTCGTCTGATGTATCTTCAAAATCGGTTCACGAACTTCCTGCAAAGAATTTGTTTCAGTCCTCAAATATTTTAACTTTCCCGTCCTTGAAACACTCTCTTTTCTGATAATACTTCAAGTTCCAGATAATGCCCATATTCTTTGCGAAACAGACTAATCTTCATTCAACCACCTTGTGTTGAACATCTTTATTATTACGGTATAGTAAAGATTTCAAACGGTTTCAATGCATTGCCAAACCATCAAAAAATTGAGTCAACCCCTGTTATTTAAAAAAAAATACTTCGAAAATTAGTGTCTAAATGTTACTACCGTGTCCGTGATTTTACTTTGTAAATTATCGTAGGTCGTAATTGCTTTCCAAAGGGAACTTTCCATATACCTAATGTTAAAAATACCTCAGCTGTATACATTTGTATGTTATTCTTTCAATTTATTATTACCTCATTAAAATCAGGTGAGATTATTTGTTCGTATTATTGTATTCCGTTTTGTTTATTTCAGCAACTAACCAATCAATAGTTTTTTGAATTCCGTTACTAATAACTGTACAAAAACACTTTGATATACTATAGCATTTGGTTTTTTAATCTCTTTAAAAAGGTGTAGAGAAAATTGGTAAATTTTTTGTTTTGAGGGTCGAAAATGAGAAAAACCAATTTTTACCCCATAACCCCCCCCCCCCTTAAAACCCCGTTCCAATGGTCCTATCATGTTCGTGTTCACGCACACATATATAGCTATGGGGATATCAAAATGAAAAAGTAAATCGGTAAGTAATAGCTTATTCCATATGGGAAATTCGCTAAAAATAAAACTCATATTTGTATTCTGCTTTTGACAACTTTAATGTACTTATATATTTAGTTAATTTAGCATGGTTATCATCGTTGTTTGCATGATGGCTAGAAAGCACTCTAGTATTCGTGCTAGAAAGGCATTCTTAACATAGGTTAAAAATAGTAAATAATATTTAATAATAAACAAAATTACAAAAAAATTGCCATATGTTTGGAAAACACATTAGTGTTCTGTAGGTGTACACTAGATATGTGTAGAAGAGTTTACCATCTACGTTAAGCTACCTTTTTGTATATTTTTAGCACTTTGGACTGCAATCTACTCAACTTTCCCAATTAATTGACCTAAATTCGATAAGTTGACGATAAAACAACGTTTTCAAAAGCTTTTACGCGAACGACCATTCACTACAAAACAATTACCAAAGTCCCCAAAAGCTGTTTGAGCAGGTAATTTGATTAGAGTGTCGTTTGAAACGCTGAAACAGAGCAATTGGAAGTCTTTTATACGATGAAAAGCTTGTAACAGGATAATCCAATACCCTGATAAACTGATAGGCAATATTTCCTGTACCTTTATACTATCCATACATAAATTCCACTGTAGATCACACTATACTACGTCTTGTTAGTACCTATAAAATTTGATATAATAATATTAATGTGATTTTATTATAAACTATTTTATACACTCGTAGGGCATGGCCCTATAGGATTTTCACAACTTTAATACGCCTACGTGTTTCTCAAGACTGTCAAGTACCTCTCTGAAAAATGTCACCTCAATCGGCCCTGTAGTTTTCACACGATAGAACTTCAGAGCTACACACAAATAGCCATACTTTCAAACTGATCATCATCATATTAGTAGGATATTTAGTGCATTACAAACTTTTCAAAATCCCAAAGAATGTGCTTAGTCACATACAAAAAATACTCACTGTCCTTTAATTGATACCTATAGATATCAAGACTATTCTACCAGAAATTCTTTAGTCCCTTTAATTACATTTTGCCGAGAATTGGACAGTGCCTAATCTATCTATCTATATATATAATACGCTAAGCCGATTTTTGTGAACAGAACTCCTCCCTCATTTTTGGACCGATTTTGATGATTAAAATGTCAAAAGAATTGCCCTGATCTGTAGTTTTGCAAAGTGTTTTTCGTTTCTTGATATCTTTATTAGTTTGGGCAGGATCTTCCATCAAAGTTGGATTTTCTCCCATAAGATTAACATGGGGGAATCTAAAAATTTAATTGGAAACTTTGTCTCCACTAATTTGAGAGAACGGCTGGGCGTAGAAACTTGGTAGGGGTGTCAAAAGAAAGGTCTTGGTCTGTAGATTGGTTATCAAAAGAAAAACTAAGTAAATCCCCTTAGGGCTCTGCCCCAGAAGCCTTTAAAGGAGGGATCTACAGATTTGTTTACATTTTGGCCATGTGGATAATACTTTTTATTGAAACAGCTAGATTGGTTATCAAAAGAAAAACTAAGTAAATCCCCTTAGGGCTCTGCCCCAGAAGCCTTTAAAGGAGGGATCTACAGATTTGTTTACATTTTGGCCATGTGGATAATACTTTTTATTGAAACAGCTGTTAATTTGTAAATTGTATTTTAAACAAGCCACATTAATTGGGAGTTACTGGTGACTGCCCTTTTCACCATTTTTGTCTTTATTTTTATCATATTGTTCTAGACAGATCATCATCATAGGTTCATGAGATTATTGTCATACATGTTTTCAATCATTGGAAAAATATTAAATTGTGTAATACAATGCAAAATAATAGTCTACAAGTGCAGAAGGGCACGGTGCCTATTTGAGCCGTGTCCATATTTTGTTAAATTAATAGTAGTTTACAGCAACTGGATAAAACATATTACAATATTTATGTAGAAATATTTGCATGATAAATAAAGTCATTAAGCTGGAAAACTGCAATATACTGCAGACTTTTCA